GATATCGTCCACTATGGTTTCGACACCACTACAAATGGTGTCCTGTTTAAAGGGATAGTTCGCTTTGAAATTAATTTTTGATATGTTTTAGATTAACTCCGCAGTATTTTCAATTTTGATATTTTTAGGGCAAACCGTTCTTGTCTGTCAGTCATATAATGGAGGTCTATGGTCACCACCTCAAGCATGCACAGAGAAGTCCAAATTAAACATTATTTAATGACTCGTAAATGTAAGTACACATTGATGGCCTAAGACACGAAACGAGCGGTTTGTGTGAGAAAACGAACGGTATTTATATCGTTTTTACCTTTTGTAACCACAGCCACGTCCAAGTGATCTGACGGTGCGGGCGCTTCGGTTTATATTTATTCGGTTTAAAATTATATTGCGATAATTATCGTTATCGTTTTATCGCCCAGCCCTAATGTGACGTAATGACGCAAAGACATGCTTGAATTTCCCGCGGAAATCCACCAGTACCGCTGGAGTTAAAAACATTATTACAAGCTTACCGCTTTGAATCGAGCTACGGCAAGCAGAGAGTTTTGAACACTGGCTGCTTATGCATTTTCTCAAATATGTATTTTGGATCATTTTTAACCCCCAAAAAAGCTACAGACTGCAGCTTTAATGAATTAATGAATTAAAGTATTGCTCTTTCTACTTAAAAAAGATTGCATCGCTGCCCCACTTACATCTTTACTTCCAGTCAGTAATGAGTCCTCACACCAAAGTATCTTGGTCTCCGATCTCCCAGAATGCAGTGCATGTTTAATTCATGGTGTTTTACCGCAAAATGTATTTACTCACGTTCTCTGCAGAGACTGTAAACAGACTTTGAATATCAAATGGTTGTCTTCTCAAAAAGAGTCCATTACATAACAGGCACAAGCTCATATTAATGATGTATGAGCATATTTGAATATGTGCATAACGAAAGCGACGCTAAGTTGAGAATACTAATTGTTTAGTTTGTGAGGTTTGCAGAAATGAGGAAAAAACATATTCGCTCAGCATGGTAGAAATGTGTATTTGTCTGCGAGATGAAAACATGTCCGATTAGATAGTCAGAAATAAAATAAAAATCTTCAATAAAGAGTTCAATAACTTTGAATAATAAGAACTGATTATAAGAACAGTAAAACAGTATATTATACATATTTTATTTCATATGTTTATGAAAACTTTGTTTTGAGCGCGCAAACTTTGATTTGAATAAATATGAACAAAAATGTAATACAAAAACACAAATTGACATAAAAAGTATATATTAAATAATTTATATGTGCGTGTGTGTGTATATGTATGTATGTGTGTATATGTATAAATATATATATACAGTGTATATATATATATATATATATATACACAATACATATATATATATACACACACAGTATATATATACATATATATATATACATATATACAATTTCCATATCACAAATGTTGCAGGAAGGATACGTTTGGGGTTTGTTTAAATTAAAAACCCTAAATATAAGCAATAATAACAGCTTAAAGCTTTCCAATTCGGCTTCAGCCAAAAATATGGAACATTGTGAGGACAAAGCAAACAACAGCAGAGTCTGACCCCCGTGATAAACAGACATACAAACAGACGTGTTTATGCAGAGCATGATCCTGTGTGAGGTCTGTTTACATTCATACGCACTAAACTGCCATTTTAACACACTTTCTCATGGGCCACGTCTTCTCAAGCATTTCATAAAACAAAAAGCCATGGCTAAACCCCCGAGTGTGCAGATTTCCATGGCAACCGCATGAATTGTGACTGCTCCTGGTGAATCCCGTATTCTGGCCGAAACAAAGATCCGGAAAACTCCCACTATCTCTCCAACACACCTGACCAGCGCGGATTACTGCTAATGAACATCAAGGCACGCCAGCAAAGAATGTTATTAAAAATTAAATGTAATCACATAAGGTTTTTTAAAGTTAATTGAATAGGTCTGGAAAACTTGTATTTATATTTTTAGATGGGCTATAATATCTCAGGGTTCAGAGACACTGAACAGTGTTTAAAGCAGGCACATCTGTGCAGAGGTGAAGTGACGGCCCTGTGGGAAGAGAGATGTTGAATACTAATCAAGGATTTTGTCTTGACGAGCTCCAGAGACACAGATTTAGTCAAACGCCCTCTAGTTTCCTGATCTCCACAGACAATACGTACATTGATTAGCTGCATTCACAGAGGAGCTTTATGAGGTGGTTAAGATGATGTTAAGAACTTCCACCTACCCTAGCAACCACCTAGAACACCCTAGCAACACCCTTTTGTAATGCAGTCCGAGGAAAGGTTTTCCATTGCAGAACTTCGATTCGATTAAGCTTTTTTTTTTTTCAATCTACTTGACTACTTCTATTTTCTGTGCATCAGGATCAATGGAGCCCGACTGACTGATTGGATTAGTTTCTAAAATCTGTCTGATTCTGCAAGGACGGACGCTCTGATTGGCTAAAAGGATTAATTGCTGGAATGCTCAGCAGAAGATAGTAACGTTCAGCAGCATCGCTTATGGAAGTATTCCTATTAAACAAGCATGATAACAATTAATTGCCAATTTGAACACATTTAAAAAATATATTTTACAATCTTTTCAGATATTTTTGGCAATATATTTAAAATTGTTATTAATAAGCCATTAAACAAGACATTTTAAATAGATTTTTACACATACTCTACATATCTGTTCAAAATTATTAGTAGAATTATATTTAATTATATTTATAGTATATTCTCAGTAGAATTGTATATAATTATAATATAATGGGATTTTATTTTAGTTATTTATTTAAATATCATTTAATGTTTAAATAATATTTTAACGTATTTCAATATTAAGTTCTTCAGTAAATACAATGTAATGCATACTTTATATATATATATATATATATATATATATATAATATAATTTTAAAACTATAATTATTAAAATATTATTCACTTTTTCAAAAAAATATATTTTCTCAACAATAGATTAGATATTTTCTCAACAATTTATACCGATTATAGGAATATAATATTTATTTTCATCCATATCTGTGAAGTTCTTCAGTAAAAAAAAAAACATTTATAAAAAAATTCTATATAGAATAAATTAAACGTGATTTTGACTTTATTTATTTATTTATTTATTTAAATATTATTATAATTCCACATACCTGTGAAGTAAAAATATTTTCTCAGCAATAGATAATAGTTAAATTGTATATTGATTATAAGCATAAAACAATACCATTACATATCCGTGAAGTTTAGGAAAACACTGACGTTTCTGCGTTCTACAGAGGAGTTAATCTGGTTTTATATCACAACAATTAACAGAGTCTATACAGTGAACAGTGTGTCTCTAAACTCGAGCCGTGATCTGTCTTCATTTGCTTTGATATTAAAAAGCCGTCCAGTTCAGATGTGAAATGATCAAGGGACTTGAAGTGCATAATTCATGATGAGACGCTTTAGAAATAACTCCAGAAATATTTCCTCCGAATAGAACTTTTATCAACTCACCACGGGGCCGGATGAAAGATCACATCCCTGTTATGAATTAATAACATTAAACGCTTTTATCATTCACGACCCGGAGGAGGGAAACGCCCCGAGACACAATTAAAGAGGGGCGACGAACGCTTGGCACGATCAAATTATCTTCAGAAGCGGAAGTCTCAATAACAAAGACAGATTCTTTATGTCCATAAGTCAAGAAACTCTCTAGCAGAGCTTGTTTTATGCAGTTAAGAGGAAATGCTATTAAGGTCCTCGGGGAAAAGAGGTTTAATTATAGTAAATCAGTTGACATCTTCCTGGATATTGATGGTGTTAAAGAGGACGGCTAACACTTGGATCAAATTATGTTCAGAAGCAGTGAACGTGTGACCATGTGTGACATTGATGTACTGTATATCTGTGATTGAATGTATGTATGATATAATATTACTTTTGCACAAGTAGCCCATAGAAAATGGTAACTTGCAATTGTGTGTCTCTGTTGTAACCCTTGCAGCAATTTCTCCGAAAAAATAAAGATTTTTGGTATAGCAGGAGAAAACTGGTACAAAGAATTGGGCCTGATTCAATCTAACCACTTTCCAACTATTAGAGATGGTGTAAAATAGTACAAGACTCCATGGTGTGTCTGGATGTGGGTGTCTATATGACCTATATATGCAATTAATTATAATGCATATAATTAAGGCAAAGGCATAAAACACTGGGTCCCAGTGGGCCGCTACTTTTCTGTGACTAATTAAAAGAGCTGACCACAGGAGCTTTGGTATCATGTTTTAAAGGGATAGTTCACTTTGAAATTAATTTTTGTTATGTTTTATTTTACCTCAAGGGCATCCAATATGTAGGTGTCTTTGTTTCCGCAGAGTAGTTTTAATTTTGATATTTTTAGGTCAAACCTTTCTTGTCTGTCAGTCATATAATGGAGGTCTATGGTCACCACCTCAAAGAGCATGCACAGAGAAGTCCAAATTTAACATGATTTAATGACTCGTAAAATGTAAGTACACATTGATGGCCTAAGACACGAAACGAGCTAGTGTGAGAAAACGAACTGCATTTACGTCACGTCCAAGTGATCTGAGGCCGCGGGCGCTTTGTGGCTGTGGTTACAAGAGGTAAAAACGATATAAATACTGTTCGTTTTCTCACACAAACCGCTCGTTTCGTGTCTTAGGCCATCAATGTGTACTTACATTTACGAGTCATTAAATCATGTTTAATTTTGACTTCTCTGTGCATGCTCTTTGAGGTGGAGACCATAGACCTCCATTATATGACTGACAGACAAGAACGGTTTGACCTAAAAATATCAAAATTGAAAATACTGTGGAAACAAAGACACCTACATCTTGGATGCCCTTGAGGTAAGCTAAAACTTATCAAAAATTAATTTCAAAGTGAACTATCCCTTTAAGAGTATTGGGTTAATTAAGGCTATTTTAAAATTATGTCGTCATTTACTCACCCTCATGTTGTTCCAAACACGTACAACTTGCTTCCCCCTGTAAAACACACAAAGAAATGTTTCATTGAGAATGTTTTATTTCATTTAAGCGAGCTTCTGCATTATTATAATCTGTGCAGTTTGACAGGTAGTGTTATACCAGTAAACAAACATGTTCTAACAACGTTTTGCTAACATTTCTACATAAAAAAAACCATAACATTTCTCCTGAACATTCTAAGTCTGTTTTTATGTCATTCTGCAAAGTGTGAGTGTTGCCGTTTTCTGAACATTATAAAACTAGTTACATTTTAAAAAAAAAAAATTTTGTAGAATGTCCAGCTAATATTGAAAATGTTCATTAACGATCTACAATTAATATTTTTCTTGAAGACTAACTTCGAACAAACGTTCTGTTGACGTTACTGGAGAGTTCTGAGAAGGTTCCCTGTTAGCTGTGATGTAATGTAATGTTCATCCGGTGTCCAGAGCTGGCTTATGTTGCTCGAAGTCTTCCTTATACATGTTGGCAGCGCGTCTATATATCATTTGCTTATTTTAGCCGTTTAGCTCATGCGGAGTAAGAGGAAACCAGGGCAACATTACAGCCACCACCCAACTTAGACACATCCTCAGACACACCTAGAGACAGTAACACTATCTGAGACCACACACACACACACAGCCTTTCCAGAGGCCTAGTATGGCTGATACATCTGATACACATACAAGGAAAAAGTTTCTTTTGTCACATTAGCTGGTTACCAGTGCTGCCAGGCATAAACCAGCCAAGATATGTGTGTGTGCGTGCATGTGTGTGTAAACAGCACACTAAAGTACTGACCGGCTCTCAGTGGAGCAACTCCCAGTTGTGCGTCACAGTTACTGTTGTCATGGCAATTTCTAAATTCTGACACCCTGTATTTAGAGGATTACCGTAGAAATACTGAGTGACAGTTTCACATTAAAGGAATACATTCTTACAAATAACAGTTATTTGTGGTTCCATGAACATCCATGGAAGCTTTCCATTGCACAAAACGTTCTTTATAACGGAAAAAGCTTCTTAGAATGTTCTTCACACTAAGACAAACAAAATGGTTCTTAGGGGAACCGTAAATGTCATCACTACAAAAACTTTTGGAACCTTTATTTATAAGAGTGTAATGGCAAAGACATGCAGCAAAATTGGAAAGTAATTTACTAAATAGTGAAGCACAATATAGAAGGCTGTAAAATCTGTACACTATAATCCAAGTCTGAAGTAATACCATATGTTATATCTTTTGATCCGGGCCCGAAAAAAAGAAAATAATTAATTTAGTCCTGGTTCAATTAGCGTTCACAATGTCATTTTCAACACAGAATCTAAAAATACAAAACATCTTGTGACATCACCTGTTTTTGGTCTGTTTCAATAGTTCATTAGTGTTTGGAAGTGGACTGAGACTCTTTTCAGCGTCTCGGTCCACTTGTTTGGTGGCACGAGGGTTCAGATGAACCGCACAAACAGAGCACCAGGGTTCGTCTTAATTAAACAGCCTAAAATAACACTGCTGTTTCATACCAGAAAAAAAACACTAAGTGACTTTAACTCCCATTAATCTTCCAAAAACAGTATTTGAGGTGTGTTTAGAGGTTCCCCGTGTAAATCCGAAATAATAAAAAACACGGGGTACCGTATCGTCACTTGGACGGTAACCATGACGACCGATCATCTGTCATGTTTGCTACAGCAGTGAAGTGGGGAAATGCCAGCGCAGGTCGAGAGGAGCCCACACCTACCAAATTACCCAGCAGAATATAGTACTTAAAGGATTCGTGTTTCTGTGCTCAAAACTATTTTTACATGCACACACACTTCAGCTGCCTATAAAGAGCTTCGAACACACACACACACACACCAGATAGATGGATGGATGGATGGATGGATGGATGGGTGCGGGGAAAACAGAAAAATACAGACTGAACTAGTGTCAAAGAGCATGTCAGACTTAGAACCAGGAAAGATAATCACTAATTCGATTCTTTTTTTTTCATTACTGGGAATGCAACGGAATACTGGTCATTAATTTTGAACATTCTAGAATCCTTTAAACATTCCATTTGTTACAGTGACTTTGTGTTTAACCCCTTAACGTCTGAATTTATATAGCTGTATATAAAAAAATGTTTTATGTGTGTTTTTGCCTTTAAGTAGATGGTAAATAATGTTGAGATTATCAATTTCACTTTTGCACAACAAATAAATAGAAATTTTGGTATGTTGCAAATCTGCAACAACGGGCATAATGGTCAATTTGGAGTCTATTTGGTATGTTGCAAATCTGCAACAACGGGCATAATGGTCAATTTGGTATGTTGCAAATGTTGCAAATGTTCCTGACCGGAGAAATCCTCGTGCCTAAACAGGAAATAAGTCCGTCACTTTGAAACAAGTGCTTGTCGAAGGTCCATAGGTCCTTAGTGAATATGCACAAACCGGCATTGGGGGAATGCAGACGTTATCTCGGCTGGTTGACTGAGTCAAATGGTTTGTTGCATATTTGCGACAGTGGGCGTTAAGGGGTTAATTTAGATTTACTCATACACTGTAAAATCCAATTAGTAAACCTTACTTAAAAGAAGCATGCGATTGCCTTGAAAAAAAATGAGTAAAGTGAAACAGGAATAGTCTGTAGTACTAACAAATGTCTGTCTAGTATTGTACACTTACAAGAGAGTTGTAGTAACTTAAAACAAATTTGTATAGTATACTTGATACTTTACTTTAGATGTACTTTTCTTAGTATAGACTACTCATTACTATTTTTAACAACTAAGTAATTTCAAGTAAAATATACTTTGTGATTATTCCTAACTACTAATTTATGCTAGTTGTGTTAACTCTGATGTTTTCTGCATACAACTTGGAATTACTGAGTTTACTTTACTACAAAAGCAATTCAGTTTACTTGTTAAAACCATGCAATCCGGTTGCCTTAAAAATCACAAGTAAGCTTTACTCCAATAACTTAAGGCCTATATAACAAGTGCACAAAGTGGCTAAATTCATTAAACAATGAAAAAGAAATGTTTCTGACACACGTGCACTTTAAAAAAATTAATACACTGGCAGCCTCTAAACTTGCTTATAAACCTTACTTAACTTGCTTAAAAACCTTGCTTGCTTATAAATGGGCTGACAACTTTAAACTAAGTGCCTTAGTTTTCTATCAATTAATCTATTTCCACTTTCATTAACAAAAATAAATCATTTGATTACGATTACATTCTACAAATACAGCATTCTTACAATCCTGCATACTTACAAATTCACCAAAGACAACCATCTACGAGACGAGGGCTCTGGAACAGCAGACACTTGCTCCGACTCTGTAACAGCAGACACTTGCTCCGGCTCCGGCTCTGTAACAGCCGACACTTGCTCCGGCTCTGTAACAGCCGACACTTGCTCCGGCTCTGGAACAGCAGACACTGGCTCCGGCTCTGTAACAGCAGACACTTGCTCCGGCTCTGGAACAGCAGACACTGGCTCCGGCTCTGTAACAGCAGACACTTGCTCCGGCTCTGGAACAGCAGACACTTGCTCCGGCTCTGGAACAGCAGACACTTGCTCCGGCCCTGGAACAGCCGACACTGGCTCCGACTCTGAACAGCAGACTCCGGCTCTGTCTCTGTAACAGCAGACACTTTCTCCTGCTCTGGAACAGCAGACACTTGCTCCGGCTCTGTAACAGCAGACACTTGCTCCGGCCCTGGAACAGCCGACACTGGCTCCGACTCTGAACAGCAGACTCCGGCTCTGTCTCTGTAACAGCAGACACTTTCTCCTGCTCTGGAACAGCAGACACTTGCTCCGGCTCTGGAACAGCAGACACTTGCTCCGGCTCTGGAACAGCAGACACTGGCTCCGGCTCTGTAACAGCAGACACTGGCTCCGGCTCTGTAACAGCAGACACTTGCTCCGGCTCTGTAACAGCAGACACTTGCTCCGGCTCTGGAACAGCAGACACTTGCTCCGGCTCTGTAACAGCAGACACTTGCTCCGGCTCTGGAACAGCAGACACTGGCTCCGGCTCTGTAACAGCAGACACTGGCTCCGGCTCTGGAACAGCAGACACTTGCTCCGGCTCTGTAACAGCAGACACTGGCTCCGACTCTGTAACAGCAGACACTTGCTCCGGCTCTGGAACAGCAGACACTGGCTCCGGCTCTGGAACAGCAGACACTTTCTCCTGCTCTGGAACAGCAGACACTTGCTCCGGCTCTGTAACAGCAGACACTTGCTCCGGCTCTGGAACAGCAGACACTGGCTCCGGCTCTGTAACAGCAGACACTGGCTCCGGCTCTGTAACAGCAGACACTTGCTCCGGCTCTGTAACAGCAGACACTTGCTCCGGCTCTGGAACAGCAGACACTTGCTCCGGCTCTGTAACAGCAGACACTTGCTCCGGCTCTGGAACAGCAGACACTGGCTCCGGCTCTGTAACAGCAGACACTGGCTCCGGCTCTGGAACAGCAGACACTTGCTCCGGCTCTGTAACAGCAGACACTGGCTCCGACTCTGTAACAGCAGACACTTGCTCCGGCTCTGGAACAGCAGACACTGGCTCCGGCTCTGGAACAGCAGACACTTGCTCCGGCTCTGGAACAGCAGACACTTGCTCCGGCTCTGTAACAGCAGACACTTGCTCCGGCTCTGGAACAGCAGACACTTGCTCCGGCTCTGTAACAGCAGACACTGGCTCCGGCTCTGGAACAGCAGACACTTGCTCCGGCTCTGTAACAGCCGACACTGGCTCCGACTCTGAACAGCAGACTCCGGCTCTGTCTCTGTAACAGCAGACACTTTCTCCTGCTCTGGAACAGCAGACACTTGCTCTGGCTCTGCTGTTCCAGAGCATACTTACATACTTATAAATTCCTGCATGCATACAAATGCAGGAATCCTGCATTCTTACAAATCCTGCATACTTATATTCCTGTAACAGCAGACACTTTCTCCCGCTCTGGAACAGCAGACACTTGTTTCAACTCTGTAACAGCAGACTTTCTCCTGCTCTGGAACAGCAGACACTTGCTCCGGCTCCGACTCTGCTGTTCCAGAGCATACTTGCATACTTACAAATCCTGCATACTTACAATCCAGTAACAGCAGACAATGGCTCCTGTAACAGCAGACACATTCTCCTGCTCTGGAACAGCAGGCACTTACTCCGGCTCCGGCTCTGTAACAACAGACACTGGCTTCGGCTCTGGAACAGCAGACAATTTCTCCTGCTCTGGAACAGCAGGCACTTACTCCGGCTCCGGCTCTGTAACAACAGACACTGGCTTCGGCTCTGGAACAGCAGACACTTGTTCTGGCTCTGCAACAGCAGACTCCGGCTCTGGCTCTGGAACAGCAGACAATTGTTCTGGCTCTGGAAGAGCAGACACTGGCTCCGGCTCTGGAACAGCAGACACTTGCTCCGGCTCTGGAACAGCAGACACTGGCTCTGTAACAGCAGACACTGGCTCCTATAACAGCCGACACTGGCTCCGAGTCTGGAACAGCAGACACTTGCTCCGGCTCTGCTGTTCCATAGCATACTTGCATTCTTACAAATCCTGCATACTTACAAATTCCTGCATACTTATAATCCTGTAACAGCAGACACTTTCTCCGACTCTGGAACAGCAGACACTTGCTCCGGCTCTGGCTCTGGAACAGCAGACACTGAATCCAGCTCTACTGTTCTAAGAGCAAACTTGCATACTTACAAATTCCTGCATACTCACAAATGCAGGAATCCTGCATACTTATAAATTCCTGCATACTTACAATCCTGTAACGGCAGACTTTCTCCTGCTCTGGAACAGCAGACACTTGCTCCGGCTCCGCTTTTCCAGAGCATACTTGCATACTTACAAATGCAGGACTCCTGCATACTTACAAATTCCTGCATACTTACAATCCAGTAACAGCAGACAATGGCTCCTGTAACAGCAGACACATTCTCCTGCTCTGGAAAAGCAGGCACTTTCTCCTGCCCTGGAAAACCAGACACTTGCTTCGGCTCTGCAACAGCAGACACTTTCTCCGGCTCTGGAACAGCAGACTCCGGCTCTGGCTCTGGAACAGCAAACACTGGCTCCGACTCTGGAACAGCAGACGCTTGCTCCGGGTCTGCTGTTCCAGAGCATACTTGCATACTTACAAATTCCTGCATACTTACAAATGCAGGAATCCTGCATACTTACAAATTCCTGCATAGTTACAATCCTGTAACAGCAGACACTAGCTCCTGTAACAGCAGACACTTTCTCCGGCTCTGGAACAGCAGGCACTTGCTCCGGCTCCAGCTCTGGAACAGCAGACACTTGCTCCGGCTCCGGCTCTGTAACAGCAGACACCGGCTCCTGCTCTGGAACAGCAGACACTGGCTCCGACTCTGGAACAGCAGACACTTGCTCCGGCTCTGCTGTTCCAGAGCAAACTTGCATACTTACAAATGCAGGAGTCCTGAATACTTACAAATTCCTGCATAATTACAATCCTGTAACAGCAGACACAGGCTCCTGTAACAGCAGACTTTCTCCTGCTCTTGAACAGCAGACACTTGCTACGGCTCTGCTGTTCGAGAGCATACTTGCATGCTTACAAATTCCTGCATACTTACAAATGCAGGAATCCTGCATACTTACAAATCCTACATACTTACAAATTCCTGCATACTTACAATCCTGTAACAGCAGCCACTTTCTCCTGCTCTGGAACAGTAGACACTTTCTCCTGCTCTGAAAAAAAGCAGACACTTGCTCCAGGTCTGGAACAGCAGACACTTGCTCTGGCTCCGGCTCTGTAACAGCAGACACTGGCTCCGCTCTGGAAGAGCAGACTCCGGCTCTGGAACAGCAGACACTGGCTCCGGCTCTGGAACAGCAGACACCGGCTCCTATAACAGCCGACACTGGCTCCGAGTCTGGAACAGCAGACACTTGCTCCGGCTCCGGCTCTGCTGTTCCATAGCATACTTGCATTCTTACAAATCCTGCATACTTACAAATTCCTGCATACTTATAATCCTGTAACAGCCGACACTTTCTCCGACTCTGGAACAGCAGGCACTTGCTTCAGCTCTGGAACAGCAGACACTTGCTCCGGCTCTGGCTCTGGAACAGCAGACACTGGTCCCAGTAACAGCAGACACTGAATCCAGCTCTGCTGTTCTAGAGCAAACTTGCATACTTACAAATTCCTGCATACTCACAAATGCAGGAATCCTGCATACTTATAAATTCCTGCATACTTACAATACTGTAACAGCAGACATTTTCTCCTGCTCTGGAACAGCAGACACTTGCTCCGGCTCCGCTTTTCCAGAGCATACTTGCATACTTACAAATGCAGGACTCCTGCATACTTACAAATTCCTGCATACTTACAAATTCCTGTATACTTACAATCCAGTAACAGCAGACAATGGCTCCTGTAACACCAGACACATTCTCCTGCTCTGGAAAAGCAGGTACTTTCTCCTGCCCTGGAAAACCAGACACTTGCTTCGGCTCTGCAACAGCAGACACTTTCTCCGGCTCTGGAACAGCAGACTCCGGCTCTGGCTCTGGAACAGCAGACACTTTCTCCGGCTCTGGAACAGCAGGCACTTGCTCCGGCTCCAGCTCTGGAACAGCAGACACTTGCTCCGGCTCCGGCTCTGTAACAGCAGACACCGGCTCCTGCTCTGGAACAGCAGACACTTTCTACAGCTCTGGAAGAGCAGACTCCGGCTCTGGAACAGCAGCCACTTTCTACTGCTCTGGAACAGCAGACACTTGCTCCGGCTCCGGCTCTGTAACAGCAGACACTGGCTCCGCTCTGGAAGAGCAGACTCCGGCTCTGGAACAGCAGACACTTGCTACAGCTCTGGAACAGCAAACACTGGCTCCTGTAACAGCAAACACTGGCTCCGACTCTGGAACAGCAGACACTGGCTCCTATAACAGCAGACACTGGCTCCGGCTCTGGAACAGCAAACACTTGCTCCGGCTCTGGAACAGCAGACACTTGCTTCAGCTCTGGAACAGCAGACAGTTTCTCCGGCTCCGGCTCTGGAACAGCGGACACTTTCTCCGGCTCTGGAACAGCAGACACTTTTGCCGGCTCTGGAACAGCAGACACTTTCTCCGGCTCTGGAACAGCAAACACCGGCTCCGACTCTGGAACAGCAGACACTTGTTCCGGCTCTGCTGTTCCAGAGCATACTTGCATACTTACAATCCTGTAACAGCAGACACTTTCTCCGGCTCTGGAACAGCAGACACTTTCTCCGGCTCTGGAACAGCAGACACTTGCTCCAGCTCTGCTGTTCCAGAGCAAACTTGCATACTTACAAATTCCTGCATACTTACAAATGCAGGAATCCTGCATACTTACAAATCCTACATACTT